GAAAGAAAATCATGCCAATTAACTAATTGAATATCATTAACTAAACATGACTCATTAAGTTTAGAATAATCTCTTCTAAAGATCTCAACATTGGTTGGCAGTAGAGAAAATTTATTAAAAATTAGGAAGTTTGGTAAATGGTCTGTGAGGTCATATAATATATTTCCACTGATAGTAAAATGTTCAAGGGAGTTGAAGAATATGTTATCAATAAGTGTAGCAGAATGATCAGTAATTCGAGTTGGTTGAAGTATGTATGGTTGAAAAAAAGATGTGCCTAGGCTGGTCATAAAGTCATCTGTTGGAGAATGAGACTCAAATTTCAAATCTAAATTAAAATCTCCCAAAATTATGCAGTACTTATTTTCCCTGTGAATTTTATCAATAATAGTATCAATATACTCCTGAAATATACCAACATTCCCACTTGGATGCCTATAAATGATTCCACACACCATATTGCACTGGTCATCATTCTGCACTTCAATCCATAAAGCTTCAAATTCATTCTTAGATAATGTCAAATCTGTACGCTGTGTAAATTTTATTTCATTTTTTATAAAAAATCCTACCCCGCCTGCATTTGAATAACTGGGTTGAGATACAAAGCGATAACCAGGCAATTCACAATTTGTTATAGGAACTTCTCCAAATTTTATTTTAGTTTCAGTTAATCCAATTAGCAAAAATGGATAATATACCGGGTGTATCAAAAAAAAACTGAACAGATTTGAAATTGCTCTCAATTTCGCAAAACACCTATTTGTATCTGGGTTTTTTATATATATAGCTTCTTTGGGTACTTATAATGTAAAATAATAAAAAAAAATTCTCAAACTCAAATTTTGTGAACCAGGGGGGGGTGTCTTTTCCAACAAACTAAAAATGGCTCGCGCACAAAATTTAAAAGCTGTAATCATATTTTGAGTTAATAGATTGAAAATTTGTCGGGTTTTTAATTACTGTACAAAATTTCAGACAATTTGGTTTAGTTTAAGCCCTTTACAGTAAAAATACAAAAAGTGTCCCACTTCCGCTTCTGTAGTTTGTTGTGATTTACTGTAATTTGTTCTGTTTTTCTGCAGCGATTACCGGTTTATCGGCAAATACTGCGATAAAATTTAAATTTCGTACCTTTTATGCAATGAAACTAACGAAAAATGTATTATTTCCCTTTGCTACAAATTATCATATTTAAAAAGTAGAGAAAACTAAGTTTTATCGCGGTATTTGCCGATAAATC